TCTAACATTAATAATAACACCATAATCAATAAACAATAACAATAAATAACCATAAAAACAACAGTAATAACAATAATAACAAATCAAAAATAACAAAGGTACCACATCCACCTTTCTAAAACAGCACTAAAACACCCTCAAATACTAATAATTACTCTTTATCATTAAAAAGTACCGGTAACAATACATTAAATATCACACTGAAACGTTTACAACTTACAACATTAATAATAAATAATAACAATAATAAAAAACAATAACAATAAATAACAATAATAATAAATAATAAACAATAATAAATAATAATAAATAACACTAAAAAACCCATAATATAACAACAATAACAAAAATAATCACAATAAAACTCTGAATCACATCAAAAGTCAAAAAAATCAACAATACACAAACCGGCTAGAGTGCAGACAATCAGAGTCATTTTGGCANTACTAAACAAACACCACAAAAATGGTGAAAATATCCCTCAAAACGTTAAAAAAATAACCTCCCAAAGCCAGTCACTTTACCAAACCGGTAAAAAATTACCACACCGCCTCATTATTTCCCAAAATACACCCCCAAAAAACCTGAACTAACCGGTAAAAACCAGGTAATCCAACTACCCAATAACCATCAATACTACTGCCTCTTCATCTCCAACCGTTCCTTCTCACCGTAATCACTCGATAAATAATACCTGCTCAACACCAAACTACAAACTACGATCACGTGAAAAACATGCAACATCGCTGAACTCAACGCCGTCGACGGGTACGTGTTCCAACACAGCTCTATACCGAGCAAAATACTCACCCTGCAACAATAATTAGAATAATAATAAATAACAATAACGACAAATAATAAAAAATACAACAACAATAATAAATAACCACAAAATTACACCTCAACAACAAATAATAATACCCAATATAAACCACTAACAAATCCCCACAAACCATACCTCACCATAACCGCAAACACTGGGAAATCCGCCCATATCCCACTCCTCTTTCCCCCTTTCTCTCCGAACTTCACCGTCACAAACAACAAATACGGCAGCGAATGGAAGTACCAACTGTAGAACTGATAGTGCAGTGAACGTGCCACCGCGATTCCGACCAGATTCGACGAGAATACAGCCAAAAGAATATCTGCAACCAACCAACACATCGTCACCATAACAAACACCAACCACTGCCAACCACCACACAACCGTTCACTACATACTCACCAACCCAAATGAATGCATTCACTCAAATGGTACCACTCAAAAATTAAATCACTCAGAGCGCAGACACGCAGAGTGAACAAACACTCAGATTCACCGGTCAGAGCGTAGACAGTCAGAGCTGGTTTGGCAGAGTGCGCCTACCAACGATCAAACACACTAATACTCACCTATCAACTACATACAATAATAATATATAACAATAACAATATATAATAATAAATAAAATATAATAATAAATAATATATAATAAAAAATAA